GTCTCGCTGGTTTGGGCGTCTCTGGGTCGTATTCCCCTGAAGGACTCTTCCCGCTGTCAGAGTGAGAGTCTGGTCTCTCTCCTGCCAAATACAAACAGAGTATTTGGTTAACAGACCTAAATGAAACCTCCACATAATCATGGACTCTACAAGGTCCTGATTGCTTAGTCACTTTTACCCCTACGCACATTGACTCAGTACTGCTACTCCTTGTGTATAGCCTCGTTACTACCTGGTACCCCTGCAAATTGACTCAGTACTGCTACTCCTTGTATATAGCCTCGTTACTACCAGGTACCCCTGCACATTGACTCAGTACTGCTACTCCTTGTGTATAGCCTCATTACTACCTGGTACCCCTGCACATTGACTCAGTACTGCTACTCCTTGTGTATAGCCTCGTTACTACCTGGTACCCCTGCACATTGACTCAGTACTGCTACTCCTTGTATATAGCCTCGTTACTACCAGGTACCCCCGCACATTGACTCAGTACTGCTACTCCTTGTGTATAGCCTCGTTACTACCAGGTACCCCCGCACATTGACTCAGTACTGCTACTCCTTGTATATAGCCTCGTTACTACCTGGTACCCCCGCACATTGACTCAGTACTGCTACTCCTTGTGTATAGCCTCATTACTGTTTTTGTGTTACTATTTTTTAGCAAATATCCGTCTTACTTTTTAACTCTGCATTGTTGGTTAAGTGCTCGTCAGGAAGCATTTCACTGTAAAGCCTACACCTGTTGTATTCGGCGCATGTGACCAATAACATTTGATTTGGCTAGAAACTATGCCAATAGAACGGATAACCAGTGCGTTCGGCTTTAAACCTCAGACATATAACTATTGTCCAATACTGTTTATTCTGCCTTTGTGCTTGAGGATCTCATTAAACAAACAAAAAAATATATATATATACAGTGGGGAGAACAAGTATTTGATACACTGCTGATTTTGCAGGTTTTCCTACTTACAAAGCATGTAGAGGTCTGAATCTAAAACAAAAATCCAGAAAATCACATTGTATGATTTTTAAGTAATTGATTTGCATTTTATTGCATGACATAAGTATTTGATCACCTACCAACCAGTAAGAATTCCGGCTCTCACAGACCTGTTAGTTTTTCTTTAAGAAGCCCTCCTGTTCTCCACTCATTACCTGTATTAACTGCACCTGTTTGAACTCGTTACCTGTATAAAAGACACCTGTCCACACACTCAATCAAACAGACTCCAACCTCACCACAATGGCCAAGACCAGAGAGCTGTGTAAGGACATCATGGATCAAATTGTAGACCTGCACAAGGCTGGGATGGGCTACAGAACAATAGGCAAACAGCTTGGTGAGAAGGCAACAACTGTTGGCGCAATTATTAGAAAATGGAAGAAGTTCAAGCTTACGGTCAATCATCCTCGGTCTGGGGCTCCATGCAAGATCTCACCTCGTGGGGCATCAATGATCATGAGGAAGGTGAGGGATCAGCCCAGAACTACACGGCAGAACCTGGTCAATGACCTGAAGAGAGCTGGGACCACAGTCTCAAAGAAAACCATTAGTAACACACTACGCCGTCATGGATTAAAATCCTGCAGCGCACGCAAGGTCCCCCTGCTCAAGCCAGTGCATGTCCAGGCCCGTCTGAAGTTTGCCAATGACCATCTGGATGATCCAGAGGAGGAATGGGAGAAGGTCATGTGGTCTGATGAGACAAAAATAGAGCTTTTTGGTCTAAACTCCACTCGCCGTGTTTGGAGGAAGAAGGATGAGTACAACCCCAAGAACACCATCCCAACCGTGAAGCATGGAGGTGGAAACATCATTATTTGGGGATGCTTTTCTGCAAAGGGGACAGGACGACTGCACCGTATTGAGGGGAGGATGGATGGGGCCATGTATCGCGAGATCTTGGCCAACAACCTCCTTCTCTCAGTAAGAGCATTGAAGATGGGTCGTGGCTGGGTCTTGCAGCATGACAACGACCCGAAACACACAGCCAGGGCAACTAAGGAGTGGCTCCGTAAGAAGCATCTCAAGGTCCTGGATTGGCCTAGCCAGTCTCCAGACCTGAACCCAATAGAACATCTTTGGAGGGAGCTGAAAGTCCGTATTGCCCAGCGACAGCCCCGAAACCTGAAGGATCTGGAGAAGGTCTGTATGGAGGAGTGGGCCAAAATCCCTGCTGCAGTGTGTGCAAACCTGGTCAAGACCTACAGGAAACGTATGATCTTTGTAATTGCAAACAAAGGTTTCTGTACCAAATATTAAGTTCTGCTTTTCTGATGTATCAAATACTTATGTCATGCAATAAAATGCAAATTAATTACTTAAAAATCATACAATGTGATTTTCTGGATTTTTGTTTTAGATTTCGTCTCTCACAGTTGAAGTGTACCTATGATAAAAATGACAGACCTCTACATGCTTTGTAAGTAGGAAAACCTGCAAAATCGGCAGTGTATCAAATACTTGTTCTCCCCACTGTATATATAGATATTTTGGTTTATTTGTTACTGAATAGAAATGTATTAAGTATATAGAAGGAGCAAGGTCAAACTGCTCCTGTTAGTCACTCTAGATAAGAGCGTCTGCTAAATGGACCAACATGTAAACTGCTCCTGTTAGTCACTCTGGATAAGAGCGTCTGCTAAATGGACCAACATGTAAACTGCTCCTGTTAGTCACTCTGGATAAGAGCATCTGCTAAATGGACCAACATGTAAACTGCTCCTGTTAGTCACTCTGGATAAGAGCGTCTGCTAAATGGACCAACATGTAAACTGCTCCTGTTAGTCACTCTGGATAAGAGCGTCTGCTAAATGGACCAACATGTAAACTGCTCCTGTTAGTCACTCTAGATAAGAGCTTCTGCTAAATGGACCAACATGTAAACTGCTCCTGTTAGTCACTCTGGATAAGCGCGTCTGCTAAATGGACCAACATGTAAACTGCTCCTGTTAGTCACTCTAGATAAGAGCGTCTGCTAAATGGACCAACATGTAAACTGCTCCTGTTAGTCACTCTGGATAAGAGCGTCTGCTAAATGGACCAACATGTAAACTGCTCCTGTTAGTCACTCTAGATAAGAGCGTCTGCTAAATGGACCAACATGTAAACTGCTCCTGTTAGTCACTCTGGATAAGAGCGTCTGCTAAATGGACCAACATGTAAACTGCTCCTGTTAGTCACTCTGGATAAGAGCGTCTGCTAAATGGACCAACATGTAAACTGCTCCTGTTAGTCACTCTGGATAAGAGCGTCTGCTAAATGGACCAACATGTAAACTGCTCCTGTTAGTCACTCTAGATAAGAGCGTCTGCTAAATGGACCAACATGTAAACTGCTCCTGTTAGTCACTCTGGATAAGAGCGTCTGCTAAATGGACCAACATGTAAACTGCTCCTGTTAGTCACTCTAGATAAGAGCGTCTGCTAAATGGACCAACATGTAAACTGCTCCTGTTAGTCACTCTGGATAAGAGCGTCTGCTAAATGGACCAACGTGTAAACTGCTCCTGTTAGTCACTCTAGATAAGAGCGTCTGCTAAATGGACCAACATGTAAACTGCTCCTGTTAGTCACTCTGGATAAGAGCGTCTGCTAAATGGACCAACATGTAAACTGCTCCTGTTAGTCACTCTGGATAAGAGCGTCTGCTAAATGGACCAACATGTAAACTGCTCCTGTTAGTCACTCTGGATAAGAGCGTCTGCTAAATGGACCAACATGTAAACTGCTCCTGTTAGTCACTCTAGATAAGAGCGTCTGCTAAATGGACCAACATGTAAACTGCTCCTGTTAGTCACTCTGGATAAGAGCGTCTGCTAAATGGACCAACATGTAAACTGCTCCTGTTAGTCACTCTAGATAAGAGCGTCTGCTAAATGGACCAACATGTAAACTGCTCCTGTTAGTCACTCTGGATAAGAGCGTCTGCTAAATGGACCAACATGTAAACTGCTCCTGTTAGTCACTCTAGATAAGAGCGTCTGCTAAATGGACCAACATGTAAACTGCTCCTGTTAGTCACTCTGGATAAGAGCGTCTGCTAAATGGACCAACATGTAAACTGCTCCTGTTAGTCACTCTGGATAAGAGCGTCTGCTAAATGGACCAACATGTAAACTGCTCCTGTTAGTCACTCTGGATAAGAGCGTCTGCTAAATGGACCAACATGTAAACTGCTCCTGTTAGTCACTCTGGATAAGAGCGTCTGCTAAATGGACCAACATGTAAATGTAGTGAGCCATCATCTATACCGCTTATATATCAATCTGTGCTGTGATTTGTTGAATCAACTCCACTGACATTCCAAAAAATTCCATTCCATTGCATGAGCCACATCAGTTAGGATCATTTAGTATGGAAAATGTATGCACTCACTAACTGTAAGTCGCTCTGGATAAGAGCATCTGATAAATGACTAAAATTTAAAAATGTAAACAAAATTAAATGAACATTCTACATTACCATGGAAATTATTGCATCACAATACCAGGCAGCCATTGCAAGTGTACCCATGAGTTTACCAGTCAAAATTGCCAGGGTTAGAGCTTCAAAGTCTGTTCTATTCATTCAGATGATTTCTATGCCAATGAGTTTACCAGAATGAATACACTCCTCAGGTATAGAACATTTTTTTACATTTAAATTTTTAGTCATTTAGCAGACACTCTTATCCAGAGCGACTTACATGAGCAATTAGGGTTAAGTGCCTTGCTCAAGGGCACATCGACAGATTTTTCACCTAGTCGGCTCGGGGATTAGAACCAGCGACCTTTCGGTTACTGGCACAACGCTCTTAACCACTAAGCTACCTGCCGCCCCATAGAACCTGGTCCATGTGGTCTACATAGCAGACACCAATGATTTGCATGACATGTTATTGATGGCGTTCCACAGTCACACGGCACGCAGACACCAATGATTTGCATGACATGTTATTGATGGCGTTCCACAGTCACACGGCACGCAGACACCAATGATTTGCATGACATGTTATTGATGGCGTTCCACAGTCACACGGCACGCAGACACCAATGATTTGCATGACATGTTATTGATGGTGTTCCACAACATTAGACGCAGTAGGTCTGGTGTCCACCAGGGTGATGTTGGGAGGTAGGTCTGGTGTCCACTGGGGTGATGTTGGGAGGTAGGTCTGGTGTCCACCAGGGTGATGTTGGGAGGTAGGTCTGGTGTCCACCGGGGTGATGTTGGGAGGTAGGTCTGGAGGTAGGTCTGGTGTCCACTGGGGTGATGTTGGGAGGTAGGTCTGGTGTCCACCAGGGTGATGTTGGGAGGTAGGTCTGATGTCCACCAGGGTGATGTTGGGAGGTAGGTCTGGAGGTAGGTCTGGTGTCCACTGGGGTGATGTTGGGAGGTAGGTCTGGTGTCCACCAGGGTGATGTTGGGAGGTAGGTCTGGTGGGTCAACTTTGAAGTCTGGGTCTTTGTATATGATCTGTTTATCTTCCCGCCACTTGACAGGCTGCTGGACCAATCGGGTTCTAGACAGCCTGCTGGACCAATGGGATTCTAAAGTGGATTATAAAACGTGTTGTTTGGATCTTGGATGCTGATTGGTCGATATTTGGGAGTTGTGGAACAACAACTCCTGCAAAATACCATGATGTGTTAATCTCATAAATCCACTGTCCCGCAGCCCAAGCAGGAAATGCATAAACTTCATCTCCCTCAGGAAAAAAGCATCTACACAATTTTTCCATGCTACTATTTGGTTTGCAACAGTTGGGGGTTGTATAAACATACGTCTGCCTCTACGACCTGTGCAACAATCTATCATTTTACAAATGCAATCTCTCCCGTGCCAGCAAAGAAGAGACAAGCACTGGCTGTCACCAACCAGCGCCAGGACCATGGACAGTTCTTCCACTCGTGTGCCATCAATGGAAACGTCACTATTAACATCACCAACTAGCTTGGTTAGCTCAGACTCGTCTCATCATCATCATTGAATCTCTTGCTAGCTAGCGACATGCCAATGATTTGTTTAGCATAGCAACGTCAAATGAATATAATTATTCTAATTAACGACTGGGTCAAAACATGAGAAAATAACTAACGACTAGCCCGTTTGGGTTGCAACTTCAGAATGCAAAAACAAATGTACCCGTTAAAATAATATTTTTTATGCTACCGATTTTCAAAAGCAATAATGACCTTGAACCAGGGAATTATCGTGTCACAACTCCCTCCAAGGGCTGTATCCCGGCCCTTGGCTTCGTCTCGGGCCTCAGAATGATAATTCCCTGGTTCTCAGGCATTATTGCTTAAATGTCTTCTCTTCAGACACTCTCCTCTACCCAGTCCTTGGCCTGTTTGGAATACCACATGGCTTCTCGGATCTCCTGAAAGATGTGTAACAGAACAACAAAACAAAACAATAGAAATGAGTCCTAATTAGTCTTACCTTGCATCCTCCTGAAACAGGAAGGGAACATTGGGTCCCGTCTTTGAAAAGGGTGTGACAAGGATACGAACATAGAAGATGTGAGAAATTGAACAAAGATAAAATTGGAGACAGTATGGTTCACTGTCCTATCCTCATGTTTGTTCCACCACCCCTCTTCCATTCCCTCCCAGGCAGGTATAAACAGAAAGAGGGATTGGTGATGTTGTCTGGTGTAAATCAGACTCAGTCATTACATGTCAATTCAGGGCATGAGCTGATATTCTAAACGTTTTAATTTAAATAATGTAAAGGTTGTGCTAGTTTTCTTTCATTACAACTCATGCACCTAGCTAGGGCCAGAGCCATATAAACTCACTGGCCAGTTTATCAGGTACACCCATCTAGTACCGGGGTCAGTAACCGAAAGGTCACTGGTAGCTTAGTGGTTAAGAGCGTTGTGCCAGTAACCGAAAGGTCTAATCCCCGAGCCGACTAGGTGAAAAATCTTTCGTTGTGCCCTTGAGCAAGGCACTTAACCCTAATTGCTCACGTAAGTCACTCTGGATAAGAGTGTCTGAAATCAGGTTCATTTTTGGTTCTGAAATATATATTTTTCGAATTCTGAAAATACTTATTTTTCGGATGTTAAAATAAGGCTCCTTTTGGGTTCTGAATAAAAGTTGAAAATATGTTATTAATAGCTGTCTATGTTTGGGCCAAATCAAGGCTAGTCCAGACCAGACAAAATCTGAACCAAACATGGACGTCTATGATTGGTTCAGACTTGGTCCGGACCGGACCAAAAAACAACGTCTGTGGAAATCAAGGCTGGTCCGGACTGCACCAAAAAAAGATGTCAAAAAGGTGTCAGCGTCAGTCCGTGCTTACTGAGGCCTACAGCAGGGATGGGCAACTCCAGTCCTCGGGGGCCGGAGCGGTGTCATTTTAGGAATGCCCATCTATGTGGTAGGCCAAACGTTTGTAAAACAGGCCACACCATTGGCTTTACTAGTCCTGATTCCTGTGACTAATCAATTTGGCTATTTAAGCTCTGAATATCAGCTACCCAACTTTATCAGAAGGAGTTATCCTGAGCCTATTTGCAATGTGTTTACACAGCGGGAAATGCAGGAGTATTTTTTGTTGTTGCTATGATCAGCTTGTCAAAAATGTATGGATACCAACTTGAAACCACTGATCATGACAATGGGGTGAAACTCCTGGACAACAGTTGTGATTGTCCATTCCATATTGTCCATTTTACTTTGACCTGTACTGTTTTTAGGATATGTTGTTTGTTAACATGTCAGCACATGTATTTGATTGGGGCGCCTATTTGATCAGAGAAACCTGAATGACGTAAAAAGGTTTCCATCTCATGACATTGTCATCTTCAGCCTGGAGGCTACAGAAAAGGCCACATACTCTTTTTACCATATCCTGTATCTGCTACATGACGGAACGTTGGTGGAGCGCAGCAGCGATGCGTCTCTCCAACAGCACACTGGAAATGGACAAGATAAATATTTTGCGTCCCCTGCCTTTGACAAAGTGGGCACTACTTCGCATAGGGAGGCATCAGAGCTCCCCTAAAAAGCCCATATCAAATCACATTTGATTTGTCACGCGCCGAATACAACAGGTGTAGACCTTACGTGAAATACTTACTTACAAGCCCTTACCCAACAACGCAGTTCAAGAAAGAGTTAAGATATTTACAAAATAAACTAAAGTAAAAAATGACTGGCCTTTGTCCGGTGCCCCGTGGACCAGCATAATCAAATCCGCTAATTTCTTCAAGCCACACCCCGGCACACCCACCAAACATACATCAAAGTCTGCTCAAGAACATACAAGAACGTTTTGGGGAAACGTGTCGTTCAGAACAAACCGTTCCCCAACGTAAACCATGGGCGGCGCACAATTGGTCCAGCGTCGTCCAAGGTAGGGGATGGTTTGGCCGGCAGGGATGTGGGTTTGTTTCCCATGGGGGGACCAGTATAAAAAAATAAGGAAAAAAAAGAAAGAAAAACATGTATGCATTCACTAACTGTAAGTCACTCTGGATAAGAGCGTCTGCTAAATGACTAAAATGTAAATGTAAATGTAACAAACGTTAAAGCGAACTGAACGCACCCCTAGTCTAGTCGATGTGGGAGGTGTAACTGCTGTAGAACAAGGTGGCTTTTATCAATATATTCGCTAGTATTTACAGCCCCAAAATGAAATGCTAATTAGCTGCTAATGTGGCTATCATTAAGAACTACAAATTACACGATGATCTGAAGGAGACTGCCGAATTGAGACAAAAGTAAAAATCTCTGGATTAACTAGGTAATGTTAGCTAAATCTAGTAATGAATAAACTGCCTAAATGTCTACATTGACTATTCTGTGAACTGTCACATGCAAGTTTTAAATTGACACAATACCTGTTAGCATAGGTGCCAGCAAGAGACGACCCTCACAAAAAAAATATTACAATTTTGAAACTGCAGTAAAAGTGCAGTTATACTGTACTGTACCTGCAGATACACTGCAAAAATTACTGCATTAAAAAAAACATATTTTGGACAGTATTTGCAGCATACTGCAGTTATACTGCACTCTGACTGCAAACTTTCTTCGTAAATGGACGTGCAGAAGCTTGCAGGGATTTGTAGTCTTGCATGATGTCAATTAGTATTTTCGAATCTGAGAGTAAATAGAGCTGAATATATTGATAAAAGTCACCTTGTCCAAGATACATTTACACGGTTATCAAAACGTCACGCCAGGGTAAGCCTACACAACACACAGCCCTTATTTTAAGTGTTTCTAAAATTCCCCATGGGAAAAATGTATGGTGGAAAAACGATTGGAACCATTTCCGTGTTTGACCACTAGGTTTTATGGGTAATATGACACCTCCACTGTGGGGCTCTATACCTATTGTGGACATTGCCATTGGATGCACTGAGTCTCCTTAGTAGAAATTCCATTCAGCCATGTTATTGAAAACTGAAATATGTGTTGTAATTTACACGTCGATTTGGCTGATATCTTGTTTAATGATTTTTTGTAAACAAACACTGTAGTTTGAAAACCTGCTTAACCTCTTAAGGCCCAAGCTGTTTTTTTACATGCATTTTTTATTTCTCTTTGCTATTTGGGCTTATTGGAACCTAATTAGAATAAAAACTAAGTATCATCTTTTGATATGATGTACTTTTAGAGAAAAATGATGTCCACATATGTGGATTCATGGTCCGAATTTCCATAAAACACAATAAAGTCACCTTTGTGTAATAGAATGAAAAACTCTTCATTTCTGCCTTGAACACAGCAGTTTTTTTCCTGACTGTTTTTTAATGTATTAATAACACATACACATATTTTTTGAACATGTTTTGACTATCGGAGAGTAAAAATAATATGGAAACATTGCATTTTTGCCCATTTTGGACAGTTAAAAATAGTGTTTGGAACATTTGATATGCTGCAAAATAGTTGCAGGATGACATTGTATGTCTGTAACAAAATATAAAACATTCAAAGCATTTTAAATAGTCACTCTTGCATTAGGCTACTAATGTGTTTTGAACATCATAGTGAAAAAAAGAAAAAATAGTAGGTGAGTAGCTCATGTGACATTTTGCATTGGTAATGTAAAAAAGGGAACATGTTAAAGGCTGCGATAACTGAGCACTGAAGGACCAGGCCTGCTTTCAGAGGCCCAGAGGTCACCTGATTGATTGACCTTCACGGAGTCGGAGAACATGGAGGAACCAAGGAACATGTACACACCTTGAGAATCACTGCCATCACTTATGTGTGAAAGGCTGAGTAACAGTTGCGCTCGGTTTGCAAGCACAAGAACACTTTGCAGGTCATACAACGCACTCGGGTTCTTCCAGTGCAGCCTAGTTGTCTGCAGCGCATTGCATTCTTCAGGCCGATCATCTCTGGGAGGTGGGCATTAGCCCTCCTACGGACCGAGACATGGGGCAACTCTGTCACGTGACGTTTCACTCCCTGGTTTGAATCTTCTTCTTCCTCTGACTGTGTCGAAAGGTCTGCATCTGCACCGTGATGCTGGGCCAAGAGGATCTTAGCCACTTCCATGCGGAACTGAAGGAACTGGATGGGTCTTGTCTTTGGTCCAGCACATATTGCATGGTCTTTTCGGTAGAGTAGCCAGCTGTTGGCTAAAGCCAGATCCGTGAAGTGCATTACCATCCGCATTGTCCACTTCTTAGTACGGGTGCTCATGCGATAGTAACTTATCATTCTATCCATCAAATCAACTCCACCCATCTTGATGTTGTACTCACGGACAATGCTTGGTCGCGAGACAGTGACATATTGTTTCACTTTCTTGTCCCAGCACTGGCAGGTGTCTTCAGGCTGTGTACCATGAACAACAGACATCAGCAATACTGGTTTGTTGTCGTACCACTTCACTACACACAACTTTCCATCTTCAGCGGAAACTTCTGATGAGGTACCTCTTCCTGCGTTTTTCATGGCTTTGTCACTGGGTAACTTATGCTTCGCTTCAGCGAGTCGGTTCTTCATTATTGTACCAGTCATGTACAGCTCTTTCTCCATCATTCGTTGCGCACCTTTGATGGTGGTGAAGAACCGGTCACAATACACCTTTGTGCCACGATGCAGAGTTTGGCACAGACGCTCGATGACTAAGCTTCCCAAACTCAGGCCCTCTGGTTCTTCGACCTTCTCAATCAGTGAACCTGTGCCTTGATACAGCTCAAAGTCAAGCACAATGCCATCTGCTGTAGCACAAACAAAGTTCTTTATGCCAACTGGGTTTGGCTTCATTGGCAGATATTGTCTGCACGGACAGGCTCCTGTGAAAGGAATCATCTGCTCATCAATAGATGCGCAATCAGGTCGATTCAGAGACAAGCAGCCTTGCAGAATCCGATCCAGAAAAGGCCTCACCTTCCAGAATTTGTCCAACATTCTCAGGTCTTCTGGCACATCATGATCAATAACCACTTTTATTGCTCCCCTCAGTTTGAAGAATCTGGCACGTGTGAATTTGTCAGTGATGGCAGTGATTTTCAAGGCTTTGGACCAGTACATCCTAATGGTTGGGTATCGGATGCAGGACATCAAAATACAGGCACCAAAAAAGTGGTAAACCTCATCTACTGTCATGTTAAGTGGCTCCCCACTCTTATACAGTGACATAATACTAGAGCATTCTGCAATCGTCATCATCAAATCTCTATCTATGTACTGTTCAAAATAGTCTAGTGGGGTCCAGCCATGTCTGTCTAGATCAGTTTCGTCCTGATGCTGATACTCTGCCAGGTTTGGCGTCAATGGAGTAGCCTTCCAGCGTAGTCCACGTCCTGCACAACCAGAATCAGAATAAAAATAGTATTTATTGTAGGAAGTTACATTTTTACCCATGTAAGCAATTGAGGTATATTGGTGCATAAAATACTTGAATCTGTGTGGAAGTTTATATGAAATTTGAAGATTTACCCTCAAGTTGTGAAGGCCAAAACTAATAACAATTACCTTGTTCAGAGTCTCCCTTTTTCTTTTTTTTTGTTTGGCTTGGTCTTGGTGTTGGCTCTTCCAAGTCATCTTCTGAGCTATCAGCCTCAATCTCTTGACTTTGACGGCGACGTCTGAGAGTGCGGGATGAACCTGTACCTGTGCCTGTACCTGTCTCTGTCCCTGTCCATGAACCTGTCAACAAGTTTTGTAAATAAGCATTTTGCTTCCAATCCTTCACATAGCCCTAAGGCCCTAACTGCATAAAATAAACAAATATCTACTGGGTCTTGGCTAACCATTATCTGCACTGTGGTCAGTGGGCTCAGGAACGGGGTCCTCATCATCACTACTGTGCTCACTGCTGCTTTCCTCCTGTGGTGATGGTTGGTAATTGCCATCCAGGATAGGATCATCGTTGTCAGACACGTCCAAATCTGAGTTGTTTCCATCAATTAACCCAAGTAGCTCCAATGCTCTTTGCAGAGAAAAACGCTCTGGAAATAAAAACATGATAAAATCAAATACAAATTAATTTCATTTATGTATGTAGGTTTGCATTATTAATTTGTTATTTATTCCAATGGGATAATATGCAAGCTAATTTACATGTGCACATTTTTACTAGCATATTACATTTTTACTAACATTTTCAACACAACTAATTGAAGTATGTATGTATGTATTTAGTGATTTAATTGTTATTTATTTCATTGGGACCATGTACAGCTTTTTAGCTGCATCAGAGCTAGCTTTTTTCCCATTTTACGTGTGTGCATGTTTACAAGCATATTAGCTGTTTCGAGGAGCCTCAGTCCATAAGTACACTTACGTGTACTTCATGTTTAGCGACCTACAAAGTTGCTAGTTTTACACTTTTTTTTTCAAATTTGCATGTCATGACAAATATACAAGGCTTTTATAAATATCTAAATCAGAATAAGCCATGAAATATGACAGAACTTCTTACCTGGTCGACGTTTGTGTATGGAGCTACCACTTGAATCTTCCCTTGTGTCCGCCGCCATTTTGAATTTTGACCGTAGTGTGTTATAAACTTCTGACACCACCAGATGGCAGTGTAAGTACCCCCATACGTGTCCGTAACACCACCAATTCAGCAGTGAACAAAATTGTGGACATAAGAGCTAAAAAGTGCTGTCCACGTATGTGACCACTAAGCCCTAGGAGGTAAAACTATTATTTTTATCTTGTGGATGGTCAGTCCTTGTATTCATAGATATTTTATGGAATTTGACAGTGGTTACATACCGGTGTCTCCAGCACACAACCTTTAGCTGTTTACCAAAACGAGTGTCATGGCGGCCATTTTGTTGTTGTTCGAATTCACTTTGAAACCACACATCAGTTCAACAACTGGCAGTTTGTGCACCTGTTTTTAAGATAGTACTCACTGGTGTTAATCAGCTCTCCAGTCTCATCCTCTTCATCCTCGTCCTCCTCTTTCAATGTGACAGTAATCTCTTCCTCATCCTCCTCTTTCGATGTGACAGTAATCTCTTCCTCATCCTCCTCTTTCACTCTGAAAGCTTCTTCATCGCCTTTCACGGTGACATCCTCCTCTTCCTCCTCTTCTTTCACGACAACATTAAGCCACAGACCCTGTTTCTCAGTCCAGCAGACCTCCTCTTCTTTAGCAGGGGGAGAGTAGTTTAGTGAACTCATGGTCCTGGATGTTTTTAAGCTAGCTAGATAGTTAGCATAAGCGACTAGCCTAGTGCTAATTTAACCAGTCAGCTGACTGACAACGTAAATATGAAGGGAGGGGGAAATGGGTAACTAGTAGATACGAAAGACGTGTGTTTAAAACACAGTGCTTAATATACACCGAAAACGTCTTAAAAAAGCTCAAATGTTTCGGCTATGGTTGCTAGCAAGCTACCTAGGTGGCTGATTAACTGTTGTTGTAGAATAAGTGTCCCGTCCACTAGTTTATACGTCACGTCACACTCTGGCAGCATCGCCTGTAAAACTCATATCGCCATCTGCTGACTGGAGTGGGTAATGCTGTTTAAGGAAATATGTATTTTATTTTCAGGAAAACGTTTATTTGTCATTTATTTCATTTTCGTTTACACAGGCAGCCCAATTCTGCAAATTTTTCCACTAATTGGTCTTTTGACCAATTACAACAGATCTTTTCAAATCAGATCTGATTAGTCAAAAGACCAATTAGTGAAAAAACGTCTAAACGCAGCCTTCTGCTCCTACATGGTGTAACAATACATAGTGTAGATGTATATAATGAACAGACTAGGTCTATACTGCTCCTACATGGTGTAACAATACATAATATAGACTTATATAATGAACGTCCACTAACGGTGTTCCACATTCTATTCAGATAATTTTTTTTTTTTTTTTTTTACAAATCAGCACACGTTGTTGCTGACATGGTGAAATGATACTGATGGAAACATTCATGAGGTAGTGAATGTTTTTAATGTCAACAACTTATCAATGCTGTTTTCAGAACAACTTCATCACATTTCACCTCTAGCTTGATGACTAGTACACAAATTAACTCAATTAAACAATACAACTACATTCAAGAGGTTTTCAAGGTTAGAATTTAGAAATGCACATTCTATTCATCCTTTTAATAATTTACATTTTGAAATATATTGTATTCAATCAATAAAAATCCATAATCAAAATAAAATACACAGTTTAAAGAGGGCTGAACTTAGTGATTTGGCCTTGTTTTCAATCTTGCCATGACTGAATTCAAACTTGAGTTGGTCTCGTGTGTTTGCAGGTGAAAAGGTGTTTGCAAATTTTTTTCTCATTAAATGCTTTCAATATTTGTATATTAATTTCTACAATTTATAGTTAGTTTGAGGTTTTGAGTTTTTTTGTTTGTCCAGACGAAACCAGTCTGTCAAAAGCATTCCTACACCTCAGAAACATTCCTAATAGGATCAAACACTTTCTTTACTTTATTTCACAGCATGATGCCTTAAAACTTATCCATGCGTGTGTAGCATAAAGTTAAAGCTTACCATGTGTCCCAGGTCATTTCCATGTGAAAGGACCCATGAGCACCAACATGTGAAGTTCATAGGAGCATGTCAAATTGGGTGTCAAATGAAAGCTAAGAGTCTATATCTTTGGGAAATGAAGGCATAGATAGATTTGTCAACCATATTCCATCTTAAAAAGTAATGGCTTTGATTTATGGTCAAACAGATGGAAAAGGGGTCTTAGAAACCATCTACCTGAAAAAGTCAAAGGGTATTAGAAATACATCAAAATACAATAATGTTGAAGTAAAGACCCTTGCCAACAGGGCCTAAAATTAACTTATTTTGTCCACCATAGATTAAAAAATCTACCAGCCACTCAGATTTTTTACCAGCCAAAAATTACACCAAATTAGCTAAAATTACACCAACAAAACACAAAAAACGGATGAGCATGTCATGTTTCTAAAACAATAAATGGATTACTAGTAAGAAGTAATGTGGTATATTTAAGCAATAAGGCACGAGGTGGTGTGGCATACGGCCAATACACCACGGCCAAGGGCTGTTCTTATGCACGACGCAACGCAGCGTGCCTGGATACCACAAATCCCCGAGGTGCCTTATTGCTATTCGGAATGTATTCAGACCCCTTCACTTTTTCCACATTTTGTTACGTTACAGCCTTATTATAAAATTGAAATTGTTTTTTCCCCTCATCAATCTACACACAATACCCCATAATGACAAAGCAAAAACTGGTTTTTAGAAATATGTGCACATTTTTAAAATTTATAAAAAACAGAAATACATTATTTACATAAGTATTCAGACCCTTGAAATTGAGCTCAGGTGCATCCTGTTTCTGTTGATCATCCTTGATGTGTTTCTACAACTTGATTGGAGTCCACCTGTGGTAAATTCAATTGATTGGACATGATTTGGAAAGGCACACACCTGTATATATAAGGTCCCACAGTTGACAGTGCATGTCAGAGCAAGAACCAAGCCATGAGGTCGAAGGAATTGTCCGTAGAGCTCAGAGACAGGATTGTGTCAAGGCACAGATCTGGAGAAGGGTACCAAAAATATTCTGCAGCATTGAAGGTCCCCAAGAACACAGTGGCCTCCATCATTCTTAAATGGAAGAAGTTTGGAACCACCAAGACTCTTCCTAGAGCTGGCCGCCTGGCAAAACTGAGCAATCGGGGGAGATGGGCCTTGGTCAGGGAGATGTCCAAGAACCCGATGGTCACTCTGACAGAGCTCCAGAGTACCTCTGTGGAGATGGGAGAAGCTTCCAGAAGGACAACCATCTCTGCAGCACTACCAGTCAGGCCTTTATGGTAGAGTGGCCAGCCGGAAGCCACTCCTCAGTAAAAGGCATATGACAGCCCGCTTGGAGTTTGCCAAAAGGCACCTAAAGGACTCTCAGACCATGAGAAACAAGATTCTCTGGTCTGATGAAACCAAGATTGAACTCTTTGGCCTGAATGCCAAGCTTCACGTCTGGAGGAAACCTGGCACCATCGCTATGGTGAAGCATGGTGGTGGCAGCAGTGGGGATGTTTTTCAGCGCCAGGGACTAGGAGACGAGTCAGGATGGAGGGAAAGATGAACGGAGCAAAGTACAGAGAGAACCTTAATGAAAACCTGCTCCAGAGCGCTCAGGACCTCAGACTCGGGCGAAGGTTCGCCTTCCAACAGGACAATGACCCTAAGCACACAGCCAAGACAACACAGGAGTGGCTTCGGTCTCTGAATGTCCTTGCGTGGCCCAGCCAGAGCCTGAACTTAAACTGGATAGAACATCTCCTGAAAATAGCTGTGCAGTGATACTCCCCAACCAAACTGACAGAGTTTGAGAGGATCTGCAGAGAAAAATGGGAGAAACTTCCTAAATACAGGTGTGCCAAGCTTGTAGAATCATACCCAAGAAGACTCACAGCTGTAATTACTGCCAAAGGTTCTTCAACAAAGTACTTAGTAAAGGGTCTGAATACTTATGTAAATGTAATATTTCCGTTTTGAAATATATACACTACTATCCCCATCTAACCCTATATCCACTACTATCCCCATCTAACCCTATATCCACTACTATCCCCATCTAACCCTATATACACTACTATCCCCATCCAACCCTATATCCACTACTATCCCCATCTAACCCTATATCCACTACTATCCCCATCTAACCCTATATACAGTGGGGAAAAAAGACTGGTCATGGCTCACATCAACAGCATAATCCCAGAAACCCTAGACCCACTCCAATTTGCATACCGCCCCAACAGATCCACAGATGATGCAATCTCTATCGCACTCCACACTGCCCTTTCCCACCTGGACAAGAGGAACACCTACGTGAGAATGCTATTCATTGACTACAGCTCAGCATTCAACACCATAGTGCCCTCTAAGCTCATCACTAAGCTAAGGATCCTGGGACTAAACACCTCCCTCTGCAACTGGATCCTGGACTTCCTGACGGGCCGCCCCCAGGTGGTAAGGGTAGGTAACAACACATCTGCCACACTGATCCTCAACACGGGGGCCCCTCAGGGGTGCGTGCTCAGTCCCCTCCTGTACTCTCTGTTCACCCATGACTGCATGGCCAGGCACGACTCCAACACCATCATTAAGTTTGCCGACGACACAACAGTGGTAGGCCTGATCACCGACAACGATGAGACAGCCTATAGGGAGGAGGTCAGAGATCTGGCCGTGTGGTGCCAGGACAACAACCTCTCCCTCAACGTGACCAAGACAAAGGAGATGATTGTGGACTACAGGAAAAAAAAGAGGACTGAGCACGCCCCCATTCTCATCGACGGGGCTGTAGTGGAACAGGTTGAGAGCTTCAAGTTCCTTGGTGTCCACATCACCAACGAACTATCATGGTCCAAACACACCAAGACAGTCGTGAAGAGGGCACGACAAAGCCTATTCCCCCTCAGGAGACTAAAAAGATTTGGCATGGGTCCTCAGATCCTCAAAAAATTCTACAGCTGCACCATCGAGAGCATCCTGACTGGTTGCATCACCGCCTGGTATGGCAACTGCTTGGCCTCTGACCGCAAGGCACTACAGAGGGTAGTGCGTACGGCCCAGTACATCACTGGGGCAAAGCTCCCTGCCATCCAGGACCTCTATACCAGGCGGTGTCAGAGGAAGGCCCTCAAAATTGTCAAAGACTCCAGCCACCCTAGTCATAGACTGTTCTCTCTGCTACCACACGGCAAGCGGTACCGGAGTGCCAAGTCTAGGTCCAAAAGACTTCTCAACAGCTTCTACCCCCAAGCCATAAGACTCCTGAACAGCTAATCATGGCTACCCGGACTATTTGCACTGCCCCCTCACCCCATCCTTTTTACGCTGCTGCTACTCTGTTAAGTATTTATGCATAGTCACTTTAACTCTACCCACATGTACATATTACCTCAACTACCTCAACTAGCCGGTGCCCCCGCACATTGACTCTGCAACGGTACCCCCCTGTATATATAGCCTCCCTACTGTCACTTTATTTTACTGTATATATAGCCTCTGTCATGGTCGAGGTAAGGAGTAGACCAAGGCGCAGCGTGATGAACAAACATGACTTTAATTAGTTAAAGCACGAAACAAAACAAGAAACGACTCATGACGTCCACGGTATCAATGACCGAACACGGAACAAAAACCCACAACCACAAAGGG